GCCTGTTCCTGGTGGACCTGCAACGTACAATGCAATGCCTTCATATTTCAAAGATCATGAAAAGAATGCTTAATTCCCACCTAGTTTTGAATTCACCACTAATATCAAAGTATCAATTTCTGCTTTATTTTGAAAAAATTCTGTATGTAAAGCAATCTGCGAAGTTAAAACAACAAACCGTGCAACAAAATCATTCGATTTACTCTTAATACTGTAGTATTTGTATTTTTCTCCGAAAGCCTGACCAGCGCGTAAATGTAAGAAAATAGCTGAAGAAACATAGCTTCATAAATATAAATTTTATTTTTAATTTCCAAAATGGTCTTAAGTTTTCTTCAACGAATAGCGCTATAGATTTCACTGAAAATTTTGAATGCAAGGAAAAATATTGACAAAAAGCCAACAGTATTCAACTAGAAAAAAGCTTGACAGTTATTATGGAAGCAACATCCAAACATCTAAAAACGGAGCTGGAAAGTGAAGAAAAGAAAAATTAATGCAAAACTAACAGAAATGTCACAGTACTTAAATTAAAGGTTAGAATTAACCATTTTTAACTTACTTCATCTTTAATGGAATCATCGAAAATCAAATTTTCCCAAATTCCATCAAATTCACGACAAGGCAATTCCCACAGCAATGATCCGGCAGTATTAGATTCGGAACCATATTCACCTGACTGAGCTTCTAGTGTCTGCGCATCACGATTCAATAATTTATATAGATGTAAATTTGCAACTGTTAGCGAAGTATCAGATATTGTCAAGAATTCTCCTAAAAATATTGGAAAATAACTGAAGGAAATTTCATTACGGAATCAAGAAACAAAGAATTTTGCGTGAATTATTTCCAAAAGCTGCAAAAATTTCGAAACTTGTTGGAAAAAAAAAAGGAATAAAAAGTCAAAAAGTAAACCTTCGGGAGTATCCGAGCAAACAATGAATACATCATCAATTATTTTACTAAATTCCTTATCAGATGGTAGTGCTATCGGATGACCATTACGAATATTTTTAATAGATAAAATCGCTTTGTGAATTTCAGGTAACAACTTTTCAGCATCCTTTCTCGCACTAAAAATCAGGTTTCGAAAGTAATGTTTTAAACAAAAAGAGTTGTTCTGCCGCTCCCGGGTGGGCTTGAACCACCAACCTTTCGGTTAACAGCCGAACGCGCTAACCGATTGCGCCACGGAAGCACGTCCACCTATGCTACATTCCCAATAAACTGGAATCTCATAGTTTTATTATTTTTAATGTATTTGCGCATAAGAACAGAAATTTTGTATAAAAGTATCACAATTCAACTCATTTGATTCAGCTTTGGTGGTCGTATTTGTACGGTTACGTGAATATCACGTAGAATTAGCAGAACAATCGAATAATTTCTCCCGAATCACTTCAACTTTTTTTTTTTTCACATCAACTTGTTATGAATTTAAAAAAAAAATATCTGTCATGAATTAAATTAAGATCTAAAAGCTAAACTGAATTTTCTACCTGTTATCAATTAAAATTAAGAGCTAAAAGCTAAAGTAATCCAAAAAATAGATGTCAAAAAAAAACCCGAAAAATAAAAAGAGTACCAAACTATTATCTAGGAGTGAAATTTTAAAATAAAAACAAAAAAAAAAAACATACAACTTGTCGATTTAAAAAAAAAAATCCATTTGTAAATGAAAATTGAAAAAAACTTACATCGTTGGATTCAAACGTATTTCTGCATGAAAAGACGGATTGGATTGTGCAATTGTTTGCTGTTTGTTAGGAATACCTCTCATTACCATAGCCCAAATGGAAGCGCTTAAATGCTCTACAAAATTCTCCATTTTATAGACTTTCTAACTTCTTCCTCAGAAATCTTTCTGGAATTTTAAAATTTTCACTTATAAATCTAAAAAAAAAAAAAAATTTAATTTAAATCAAATTTATCACATTAATAGAACTACCTAGAATTAAATTATCAAAATATAAAATTACACCAAGCAATCATTCACCTTGCCACCCGACCATCCCTTACCCTACACCGCTCCTACCTACCCGCTACATCCCCGCTCGGTACCAAAGGACATTTTTTCGCGCTATTATGGTTCCTTTGAAATTTCTCAAAATAGCAGCGGTCTAACAGCTGCGACAATTGCGCTCCAATCTTTATTATTTCTTATGATTAAAAATCGTTTGTTGAAAATACCGCCAGAATTCGAATTTGCGAACTTTTTTAAATTTTATCACAAATATCTTTGATCTATAAATGTAATTGAGTGTTGCGAGAGTAATAGTATTATGATTATAATAGTTGTAATTAGATAATCGAGAAGATATCGAGAACAAAACAATTCATAGTTATTGATAATGTAATCCAGGAATGGTGATCAATTCAGTTTACATTTTGATTACTTGTAATTATGATTATAACTATGATTATAGTTATAACAAATGATTATGTTTATAATTATAGTTATAATAGTGGTTATGTATCATTTAATTTTGATATTAAAATTAATTTTACTGATAAATTTAAGTATGAATGATTGTGATAATTACATCGATAGTATCAGTTTTTGTAATTTAAGTAATGAAATCAATTTAAACATTTTCAAAATTAAGTGCTAAAAAGCTATAAAATTAATATTCATCAAAAACAAAAAAACATTTTTTTGAATTTAATTGACGCTTTCAGTTGCATTGCACTTTTATTTTTTATTAAATGTCATCTGTTCACATCCTAAAAAAGTAGAAAATTCACTTTAAAATGAAACTTAAAATGACAAATTTAATAATTTAGTATTTGTAATTTGTAATTTTTAATTCAATGTGTTACTTAAATCGTTATTCACTATTCGACACAAATTATTAAATTTAATGTTTGATATAAACTATTAGCCAATTCTTCTTTAAGTTGAATAATACTAAAGAATTCAAGTAATTAAAATTTATAAGTTAGCTAGTGGAATTATTTCTATTTAATTCATATGATTAAAATTAATTCGAGAAATATTGAAATAATCAATCGATGATATATTTAACACAATTTGACAATGATTCAATTCGTAAGTAATTTATTTGAAATATAACAGATAAAAACATTATCACTTTTTTTTTTTGGATATGAAAACCGTTTTAGATTTCATTGATATAATAAATTTCATACCAACTTTACGTCTAAACGTATAAATGTCACGTTTATAGATATATAAGTTAACGTGATTTCAGTAGACTATGACTGATTCTTAATGACATATCAATTTCAAACGGCATATCAATATTTCTTACGTTAAATGACATCGACAAAAGTAATAATAATATATATGAATTAGGTGAAACAAATCGTAAGTAATTTAGTAATATATGAATTACGTGGAATAAACAACGTGAGTAGTAATGATAAGTAATAATAACATATGTAAGTAACGATAATATATGGAATTACGTGGAATAAGTAACGTGAGTAATAATGATAAGTAATAATAACATATGTAAGTAATGATAGTATATGAATTATGTGGAATAAACAACGTGAGTAATAATGATAAGTAATAATAATATATGTAAGTAATGATAGTATATGAAATTACGTGGAATAAGTAACGTGAGTAATAATGATAAGTAATAATAACATATGTAAGTAATGATAATATATGGAATTACGTGGAATAAGTAACGTGAGTAATAATGATAAGTAATAATAATATATTTAAGTAATGATAGTATATGAAACTACGTGGAATAAACAACGTGAGTAGTAATGATAAGTAATAATAACATATGTAAGTAATGATAATATATGGAATTACGTGGAATAAGTAACGTGAGTAATAATGATAAGTAATAATAATATATTTAAGTAATGATAGTATATGAAATTACGTGGAATAAATAACGTAGCGTGTGCGTATGCCTACATATACATACGTATCTGTTGTATGTGTGTGTATGTATGTTTGTGTATGTGTATGTGTGTATGTATATATATATATATTTGTGTATGTGTATGTTTGTTTGTGTATGTGTGTTTGTGTATGTGTATGTATATGTGTGTGTGTTTGTTTGTATGTTAAACATACATTATGATTATCACTTAATCACTTATCTACAATTTTCTTATCATAATTACTACCTGTAATTAATTAATTGTTACCTGGAAAAAGTATGCTAATATTATTAATTGATCAGTTAAAGTAAACTTTCACAGTGTAATAAAAAAAAAAAAATCTTTTAATTACAGCAATATTCACTGTAATCTTTTTGTTGCAATATTATTAGTAAAATTCAATCATAGCAACAAATTAAATTATCTCAAAAATTTTGAAATAAATTTTATATTTAATAAAAAGGAATTGTATGCCTTCTCATTTCATTCTCATAAATAATTACAATTTTATCAATTTATTGAGAATATATTTAGTTTATGCTTTACATTCAACTAAAATGGTTGTCAAGGATACGAAATATCAAAGCTGCTTCATCACTTTTTCTTCTCGAAGTTAATGTAGGTTAAATTTTAAAATTGAATATTTTAAATAAATTTAAAATTGAAATAGTAATAATAATATGAGCTTAGGGTTAGATAATAGATAATAATTCATCAATTGATTTTGTATATTTCTAATAGCATTGCAAATTTATCATAGAAAATCATTAAAGAGATATTTTTATATTGAAATGTATATTTTTGTTTTCTTATGCTTTGTTTACCATTTTACATTGATAATTTTACAAGTTTTAATCAAAATTTTTTTTTAAATTCAAAAAAAAAATTCTTTTAAGTTCAAATGAAATATTTATTTCTTGAATTTTTTAATCTAACTTTTTTTTTTTAATCAAATAAAAACATTGTTTGGATTAATTTTAATTAAAATATTTAATTACAGATTATTATTTTTATTACAATTCTTTCAATATTTATAAATAAATGTATGTGTATATGCTAATTAATAATTTTATCATTTCAGTTAAGTGATGGCTAATAAATATGGTATTTTATTATTGGTACAAATTTGTATGTTATTATTAGATCTCACATTTAATATTCTCGACATATTGCTTAAAACAGATAATACCATTCAATTGATGCTTCATTTGTAAGAATTTGCAATTATTATTTCTATGATATCATTAATTTAATTAGATTCTTTGATAAAAGATAAGATAATATCAAGAAGATAAGATAATTAATAATAAACAAAATAATAAAAGTTCCCAACAATCACATTAATTAATCTAAAGAAATGTTTTGATATTGAATTAATTGCAATTATTATTTCTAAGATATCATTAATTTAATTAGATTCTTTGATAAAAGATAAGATGATATCAAGAAGATAAGATAATTAATAATAAACAAAATAATAAAAGTTCCCAACAATCACATTAATCAATCTAAAGAAATGTTTTGATATTGAATTAATTGCAATTATTATTTCTAAGATATCATTAATTTAATTAGATTCTTTGATAAAAGATAAGATAATAAGATAATTAATAATAAACAAAATAATAAAAGTTCCCAACAATCACATTAATCAATCTAAAGAAATGTTTTGATATTAAAATAATATCAAAAATTATAAAATTTTGTAGATTTCATGGAAAACGAAACAGTCAATCCTTAAATTTCTGATATTTCAGATAATAATATTTCATATATTTACTTTTATTTCATTTTTTTCATATATTTATTTTTACAAAAAAAAAATTTCATCAATTTTATTTCTTATGAATATTTCATCTATTATTATAAATATCAGAAAAAAAAAAAAACGAAAACAAAAACTTCAATTTAGTATACAATATTAAAAAGAATTATTTATTACTTATACCACCATACTTTTTCTAATTAATTTTAATTAAAATTAAATTATAATTTTGATTTAAAAAAAAATTAATAATGAATGATTGACTAATTGATTTGATTTTTTTTTAAAATTAAAATTAAGATAATATTTACAGATTGCAAGATGCATTAATTGTACTTAGTATTATTATTATTCTCATTGCTTTCTCATCAACATTTGTCTTTCAAGCAGGCCTTATTACTTTATTGCTCAAAAAATTTGCATCAACAATTATTCTATCTTTAATATATCTTTTATTATCTGTACTTCTTCATTTTTATGATATGGTAAATTTAATTTAATTTAATTTTTTTTTTTATTAAATAAGTTTGAAAATTGAAATCAAAATTTCATCGTATATTAATTTCGAATTATTCAGTTTGTAAATGAGATAAAATAAATTATACAATAGTCATTTGTAAATGACCATGAAATATCGCAACTATATAGAATATATTGAAATTATTGAAGCTTACGTTAAATTACGTAAGCTGTTAGAGCTTACGTAATTTAACGTAAGTTTTTATATCATATTATTTAGCTAAGGTAACTCAGAGCTTACGTAATTTAACGTAAGTTTTTATATCATATTATTTAGCTAAGGTAACTCAGAGCTTACGTAATTTAACGTAAGTTTTTATATCATATTATTTAGCTAAGGTAACTCAGAGCTTACGTAATTTAACGTAAGTTTTTATATCATATTATTTAGCTAAGGTAACTCAGAGCTTACGTAATTTAACGTAAGTTTCTATATCATATTATTTAGCTAAGGTAACTCAGAGCTTACGTAATTTAACGTAAGTTTTTATATCATATTATTTAGCTAAGGTAACTCAGAGCTTACGTAATTTAACGTAAGTTTTTATATCATATTATTTAGCTAAGGTAACTCGTTACTTTCAGATTGAAATAGTGAATATGCTTAAAACATATGCAAGTATTTCAAAAATATTACTTATTAATTTGTTACTTTGAATTATAACTTACGTACGTTAATTATAATAAAGTATTTGTTGCAGCGTCAACGTTGGACCACTACAAACCAAAGTAAATGGTCATTGACTTTTTTTATATTGTATATTTTGCAACGAATCAGTAAGTTCAACATTTTAACTTTTTCTTTTTCTTAGTTTTACTAATTTATCTCTCTTCATTTATCATTATAGTGATAAGAAATAAAAATTCGTTTAATTTTATCCTAATTGATCTATGATACGATATCACATATAAAAAGCTTATAGGAACGAAAAAGAAAATTGTTTAATTCGAAAATTCGAAAATGTAATTTTAATCGAAATGGAACAGAGAAACAGAATGAAAGAACAAATAAGTATTAAAGAAAAAGAAAGAAAACTTAATTAAAAAGTAGAAATTGCAGTAAAATTTAGATAGGATGAAAAATTTTCTAAAAAATATTTTATTTTAAATGACATAAAAACAATTTAACTATTATTTATCCTTTCATTTTAGCAGCAATATTATATTATTTCACATATAAAAGAACGATATTACTATTATCAAATCCCAAATATCATCATGATTCAGAATGGATTCGTGAACAAATACGTCAAAAAAATTAACACTACTAAATTATGCATAAGTAAGTAAGTAAAGTAAATAAATTTATATATTACTCAAACATAACAATAAATATTGTTTACATCTTTATTTTCGATCCTTAAATGAAGAAAAAGAAAAATATTATACACACAATAAATTTAGAACAAATTGAAAAATGTTTGTTTATGTACAATTAAATAAATAACACATTATGGTAGATTACAACAACAAATAGTATGAATTTTGATTTATAACTACAAAATTATTCAATATTTATTGATTAAAAGGTTTGAAAACTTCTCAATAAATCTAAACATTTTGATATTTCTATTAATTAATAGACTATCAAAGTTTTGATATTTAATTTTGTTACTAATTAATTAATTTTTCATATTATCACAGGAAATTATTTCGCATTCCAAGTAAATATTCCAGGATTCGAAGATAACGAATTGCTCCACGTAGTATTTCTTGTTTACTCATTTTTTTATTGATTGGATAACTTGGAATGATTTGTCGAAGCTGAAACAAACTATTAATTTAGCTAAATGATTAAAAAAAAAAAAGAAATATGAAATGAATGGTTTATTTAATCTTGCAAGAGAACAAAATTATAAATGAATGAGAATAAATTATTAATTTCATAATTGTCAAAATTAAAGAAAGTCAATATCGAGAATTTCTAATGATATTATATTTCTCGAATGATGTAAAATTTATTTTGATATATTTTAAGCTCTTAGCATTATAGCATTGAAAAAAAAAAAAAACTATAGCAAATGATAGAAGATAGAAAGATATTACTTCTAAAAATGCATTATTTATTTGAAGTTGACGATCTCGCTCTGTTCTATTTTGGCACATTATCTGGAAATTTCGAGAAATAAAAATTATCGAAATCCATACAGAAATTTCAGATTGAACACAAAAAATTCGATCTTATGATCTAAAGAGTATTAATTTTAATATTTGATTTTTTGTAATGTAATGTAGGAAAAAAGATCATTGATTATAGGAAGACAATAAAATTTTCAAATTAATAAGACAAACGTTGTTTTCTAAATTTGAAACTATAAACAGTAATGAAATATAAATTTTGGATAAAATTAAAGAGTAATTTTCTGGAGCAATGAGAAATGTACTAAGCGACGAGAATATTATTTGATAGATTGAAATGGCTGACCATTTGATGCTTCATTAAGATTAAGTGATGCATGAAAATAACCAACTATCAATCCGCATACCATATAATTTAAATTTAATGGTTAAGCTAAAATTCAACAACAGACTTTGTTATTTACAAGTTTCCTTATTTTTTCTATTTTAACTAAGATTTTACAAATCATTGCTGATGTAATCTTACAAATCATTGGTGATACGAATGGCTGTGATCGGACAATTCAGGTCGAAAGTACTGCAATTTTACGGTAAATTACTGGAATTTATTTGTCTTCATTTCTTAGTAATTTATGAAAATTCCAGCAATGATAAGCTGATTGATTGCTACCATTGTTAATACTTTATCAATTGCAATATATTCAGTAATATTCGGAAAAGTCATGAGAAATGCATAAAGTCTTAGGTGATAACCAATTCATCCGAAGAACTAAAAACTCACTTATCACTCTTCTTAAAAACATATATTACTTATCACGGATAAAATCTTATCTTGGTTATCATCTAATCATAATAAATTCCTCTGTTTATCAATAACTATTTCTTCATATGATTGTAACACACTTTATAAGATTCATAGAATATGAACAAAGGAAACAAAGGAAATAAAAAAGGTACATAAACAGGAAAAAAAATAAACAATAAGTAAACAAACCCTGCAAATTCTACACAAAACAGAATTTTAGCTCAGCAAATAATAAAAAAAGTAAACTAAATGAAAACTGAAAAAAAAAATTGTTAACTCTCTAATAATTACGTAGTTTAAAGTCTTTGAAATTTTAGTAATCAGAAGAAATACAAAAATAAAGTCTACAGAATAAAACAATGTATGTGTCGTATATGTTACACAACAAGTCGGTAAGTAATGTATCTTCCAGCAGTTTCGGATGGTCGAATAATTTTGACTACTTGTCCTCGTCGTAAACCAAAATACCTAGCTACCGGATCACTCTGCTGAATTCGGGGTAACTGTGTATCTTTGAGCTTACTGAAAAAGTAAATTTAACAACAAACATCCAGGAATTATTGAATAATTTACATTGCTACATAAATTCTAAAGAAAACTGTTCCGTGTCACTAATGGAAAAACTCAACTTCTGTGAACGATGGATATAAGAGGAAAAAGTAGACTGAAAAATAGCTAAAGTAATACTTTAATAGATCTACTAACAATAAAATGAGACTGAAACTTTCTTCAATCTCTGTTCCACAAATTTTCGTCATCATAACGAAAATTAAACTTGCTATCGACACAAAAATTGAATTAAGCAAAATGAATGAAGTATTACAAAATTTAAGTAGGTAAAAAGAAACTAAATACGATTAACTTACTATCGACCCAGTAATTCGTTCTTTTCTTCGTTTGTCATGACAACATGCTCCGGTACCAACTCGTGTTCAGTTATATTAACCATAAGCTCAGCTTCTAGAAACTGTTCCAAGGTGTACTTTGGTGCCATATCGGCTATCGCCTATAAAATTCAGGTAGAATAGTGGTAAAGGAGTACAGATTTTCAAATGCTTTGGGAAATGTACAAAATATAAATATGCCTAGCAGGTCCAGATAGTTGCAAATTTAGAGAAGAAAACCTTAAAGATTTAAAAATTTAAAATGTAAAACGCGAACTATCAGAACAAAACCAACCTGCTTAGCTGATGGAGTCATACCAGTTTGTACGACAATAATTGCACGTGTTATTGCCTGTTCCTGCATTTGCTGACAGATCGCCTAAAACTAATTTAAAAAAAAACAGTTAGTGTATGAAGAGGAAAAAATCACATAAGAACGACAGCAGAAAGACAGAACAACGTAGCATTATATGATCTATACAAATGGAAAAAAAAGTAAGACGTTAAAAAATATTCTAAAGAAAGAGAAAAGAATGACCTTAATTGTTTTGATCCCAATTTTAGAATCTTCCGGGAAAAAGACGAACATCTGATCTGTTGGATCATCGTTATGTGCTACCAAAACAGTTAATTCATTACGGGATGGATGTCGTTCACTTGGTTTATCACCAAAGGTTTCTTTGAAATTTTCCAGTGTTTGATCCAATTCTTCTTGAGTTACCAAATATCCGCGATCATGGCACATCTGCAAAATATAACGACAGCAAAATTTCGAAAATTTCTTCAAAATCCGGCTAAATAAAAACAGTAAAGTATGGTAATGGTATAACGAGTATTATTATTTACTATTCATGGTAAAATCAAAATCTATCACTATTCCTTGGAAAATTAAGCTAATTTCATTCCACTTATATATCAAGTAAAGAATGTTTAGAGGTTCCCCACAATGCCTTCACCACAACTACAGAACATAGTTTACCACAAGAAATTCATCATGTTAAGCTTTTAAGCAATAGCTCCTGACGCGTTTAGCTATGATTAATATTTATGAGAATGGATGGATTAAGGGCAACAATTTTTACGTTTTGCTATTTGGATGCATTTATCACCACCCTATCATTGATATATAGATCCCACTATTTCATTACCACTGAGCAGTTATTATTTCCGTTATCGTCTTCACTACATTAACAATCTTTTATTAGTGACTATACAGTCATCAACAACTTGATGATTACGGCTATCACATGAATTTTTTTCTTATCTTCTCAAAACTATGATCATCATATCAAAAAACTAATTATAAACATCAGTAGCACCTTCACGTGCTACATTTTAATATTTTAGTAGTCACGATATCCTGGTAGAAATATACAGCCATTATTACGGCCTTATCAGTATAAATATCTTACTAGCGACACACAATTTTCAAACTGCTATTGAAATCGTTCGAGAAGTTTTATCACTTTTCTCAGCTATCTTTCTTCAGCTCAGTTAATCAATCAATAACGCTAAATCATTTCATATTAGGCACAGAATATTTAGACGAGACACATATCAAATGATCCCATGCACTTATCACTATCTCACTATCAGTACACATTCATCACTATCATAATTCAATATACATTAGCTAATCATTGTCCTCTAACTGCTATAAGAAACAAATGATTACTTGCATAACTGTCTTTCGAACTCTCCACAGCTTGTAAGTTTCCAATTCGTCGTCCGCCATTAATTCGATTAACACTGAAATTAGTTTTTATTACTGAAAACTAAACAATTTCTCTAAAAACTTCGCTTTAACGTTTATTTATTTACCACTTCCAATAAATGATCAATTGATCAATTGACCAATCAATCGATCAGTGACAGACAATCGATCACAACGATAAACACCTGCACAAATTACCCACCCATCACACACCGCTAAACAAACATTTCAACAAATATTTATAATTGCTATACAAACCACGGTTTTGATATGCTACAATGATCATTTCTCAATGACTGGTTCGGATGGATGAAATTTGAAAATTCGAAAATTTGAGAATTCGGTTGAGGTGATGGTTTTAATCGGAATTAGAGATGGTTATCCTTCTGGTTAAGTAGAAAAAGGAGAAGCAAAAATTTGATAAGGTATTTTTTTATAGAAATTTTTAAATTAAAAAATGGTATAGTTAGTGAAAAGGAAAAAAAAATTGATATGATATGATATTATGCAAAGATATTGATTTATGTTAAAGTTAGAATTAACGATACTTTTTTTTAATTAACAAAACAAAATAAAAATAGAAAAAGGAAGGGTGAACGACAAAAATCGATAAAAATGGCAAGAAAGAAGTGATTGTGTGAGACTGAAAAAAACAAGAAATAATTAATTTCTAATTGATAATTATATTTTCTGCCTAATTTTTTTACTAAATTCGATTTAAAATTTGATTATTAACCATAGGAATGATTGAATTTTAAAGATTAAATAAATAATATATCA